TCCCCAACACACGCATACATGGAAAATCCTGCACATGCTCTGTATGTACCTAACCCTCCCCAACACACGCATACATGGAAAATCTTGAAGTCATTTTTAGAAACCAGTAATGCCTGCTCACAGAATACAATCTCAACTAGCAGAGCGCCAAGGGCCCAGACTTCATCATTGGCTTCCCTGCCGTCACCAGCCCCAGCCAGATGCCACACTGAGCATCTCCTGCCCCCAGCCAGTTTCTTCTTTAAAAAAACCAAATGAAAGAACTCTAATATTCCCTAGAGGCCTCATGGCCTACAGACTCGGGATCCCCCACTGTAATTGACGATGAATGCAGTCCTGGAGGCGGGAGGGTGGAGGAGGCCCAAGGCTCACACCTGTCTCCACAATTGTCTCCTATGGTCTCCCCAAGGCCCATCTCTGCTGCTCTGACAGCTGAAGAACGCCACCTCCGAGAGCCAGTGGACACCGCATCTTCCACGGGGTTTCCATGGACACCGCAGATGGTGATACTATTACATTCATCCTCTGGTCACCAAATATTAAACCTCCCTCTATGCTGAGACCCCTGTCCTGAGCAGCCTGGGGAGACCTGCTGTGAGAAGGTTGGCAGGACCAGCCGCTCCCTGGAAGGTGGTGTCTGCTCTCTGTCCTGGTTCCCCACTCGTCCTCTCAGGCAGCAGCTGCTTCTGGCCCCAAGTGTCTGCATGACTTCCACCTCCCTCCCTCCACACAGTCCTGTTGGCAGAGCTGTACCTTCTGCATCTTCAGCTGGGGTCGGGGACAGGGTGCTGGACACAGCTGAGAGGGGACAGAAGAGAGCACAGCCCCGAGGGCCCCAGTTCTAAATGAAAATCAAAAAGCACAAAATAGGTGAGTGGTCTCCTCCTAGTGATCCGATGGAGGGTTTACCATGTGGTCACCTGCGCCTGGGCCACTCCACGTGTGTCCATAGGGCTTCACTGGCCGAGGTCTTTAGTCGATCACAAGCCTTTCTTCTGAGGTGCCTCTGGGTGCAAAATGTCAACCCTATAGGTTAGTGGTAAGCATGTTAGCCTTCTGCACCCAGGTATATTTGCATCTTTTAGGCCATGAGAATCTAGTACCAGAACGAACTTGCCAGTTCTAGTACCACCACAGGCTTCTCCTAACACCCTTTCTAGTCCAAACCACCCCAGTCCCAGAAGGGACCCAACAAGCTGTGCTGCTCTGAGCAACAACCAGGAATCTCCCCTTGGAGCTCTCCCCAGCACTGAAGGCCCCTCCCTGGCCCCACCACAGTGCCTGAAGAAGCCTGAAGGGCCTCTAGAAAGATGGGCAGGGAGAGGGGGGCAACATGCCACTGGGGGCTTGGGTTTGTGTGCATCCTGGTTTTACCAGCACCTGAACCACCTCTGCCTTCTGAGTCTCCACCCACCCCAGAACGGACCTTGTGTGGGAGGTGAAACCATGCTGGGCCTTGAAATGGGAGGCTCTAATAAGGACTCCCAGAAGGGCTTCTTCCAAAACTCCATGAAAGGTGTTGCTGTTTGGAGTGAGAATTCTTTGTGGACAGGATGCAGCCTCC